TCTTCTTTTAGGTTTGGTGCATTTCTTGTTTCCTGTTTTCGCCAAGAACGTTTACACCGAAGCCTTTTTTCTTTCTAAAATATACCTGTGTTATTTTCGCAAGTACAACGAAGGACGTTATAACGTGTTTACAATAACTTGGAGTTAAAAAGTAATTTACCGTTTATTAACAGCTCTTAGAATAGATTTTCTTTAAGAGATATAGTTATCTCTAATATTGTCTTATTTTACAATGATCAAAAGAGTTTCAATCGATAAAATTAACTTATTTCAATGATCTTTGACTGCATCTTTTCAATTATTTTAATTTGATATACAAAAAAAATCCAAACGTCGCATTACAGACTATAAATACGTTGTTTATGCGCAATATCAAAATATTCAGACTTTACGAACAATAAAGTTCAATTGTTTGTTTACTTAATTGTATCATATAATGGTATTAATTTCATTTTGACAATCATTACATACATTTAAAACAGATTATACACATTGGTTTTATCTTACTCTAAAGTGACATGCAATGATGGACGGAAAATTAAAAAAATAAAGAAACTAAGTCATAAGTCACAGAAAAACTGACAACACCAAGAAACGAAAAACGACGAATTTTAAAAGACAAACAAGTCCACAATACACTGCATAGAAAACTAAAGACTCAGCAACACGAACCCAACCAAATAAAACAGGGGTCAACTCAGGTGCTCCGGAAGGGTAGTAAGGGTTTTCCCCCATTTCCCAATTTCTTTGTACATATCGTCTGGGACATAATATATAGTATAATAGTCCCAGATATCGTTAATAACTTAGATACGTATAATGCACTGTTTCAACGCCGAGAAATTTTTACCATGTGGTTTGATTTTCGGGGTACTCTATTAGTTTAGATTATCCGCATGTTATCAAACTTCAAAAAGCCTTTTGTAATTCAAGTTTTTGGAGTGAAAAATCCCAGTTTCAGCTAATGAAATTCTCTGGAAACTTAGTTTTTGGTAAACATTTAATAACTTCATAGATTTTACATCGTTATTCTTTGGTCCTCTGCACTTTAAAACAGCACAAATGGTCAAGTTCAGTTAATTCTTTAAAATCATCACATGCACATGTCGAATATCTGGCAGAGAGGTTTTTTGAAAGAATATCCGTGTTCCTCATGTTTTAGGGCTTTTAGAGATATTGACCCAGTTATTTTGATCTTTAATCAAATACTAAACTACAAAAAGTATTTTTAAACGCAGTGCATGTACGAACAAGTGAAACTTTATCATAGATAACAATTCACAATTTGGACGGAACTGTTCTCCCGTATACTTCAGTTAAACTCATTCCCTCTTCATGGGACGGTCAACAAATACCGCACTTACTAAATTTGTAAAACATCTTCAGAAAAGTAGTGCTACATATAACGGGGTTGTAATGTTGCTATTTGGGATTGGACATTAGTCTATGATAAGTATCTTGGAGATGACAAGAAGGCACCAAAGTTACTGGCATGACAAAAACTGCAACATGAATGTTCAATATTTACTAAAAGAGTTAGAAAAGGTGATAAAAAAACGTTGGACAATAAATGCAACACAGTTTTCTCTGTTTGTGCAAATAAGATTTCTGTAGGACCCAGAGTTAAGTCAAAGTTGTGTTTCCCTTTGTTTTCCTTACACTTGCTGTGGATTTTTGGGGGTCTGGGCCCGTATGCATAAAGCTACTTAAGGGAGCTACCATTTGATTTGTATGGGGGGGGGGGGGGGGGGGGCTAGGATGAAATTTAAAAAAAAATAGGCAGGACAGGAGTTTTGAGTAAAAAAAAAGGCAGGATGAGACACTTGCAAAAAAAAAAGCCAGGATGACAATTTAGGTAAAAAAAAGTCAGGATAAACTTTAAAAAAAAGGCAGGACCGAATAGAGTGAAAAATAAAAAGGCAGGACAGAGATTACAACTAAAAAAAAATGCAGGACAAAATTTTTCATCCTAGCCCCCCCATAAAAATCAAATGGTAGCTCCCTAAGTTAAGATATCCAATCATAATACTAATTTATCGTAGGACATGTAGAAAAACCCGTCAGTTCTGAACAAATCTTAACTTAAGTAGCTTTATGCATACGGGCCCTGATGTATAGAAAACAAAATCAAAAACACACACACTGTAAAATTCTTTTAAAATTAATGAAAAAATATTTGTAAGGTGATATCTGAATTTAAGTCGTATGAATTAGGGGGAGAGTTAGGCGCCCGCTGATATGTTTAACTCTGCCACATTATGTATGTGTCTGTCACCAAGTCAGTAGCCTGTAATTCGGTGGTTGTCGTTTGTTATTGTATATCATATTTGTTTTTTTTTTTCATTTCTTATTGTTTTGTACACAAATCAAGCTTGTTTTCTTGTTTGAATTGTTCCACATTTGTCATTTCGGGGCCTTTTATAGCTTGTTATGCGAGATGGGTTTTGTTGATTGTTGAAAGCCGTATGGTGACCTATAATAGCTTATTTCAACGTCATTTGGTCTTTGGTGGAGAGTTGTCTCATTTGCAATCATACCTCATCTTCTTATTTTTATTTTATATGAAAATCCTCCATCACTAACAGGTTCAATTTAAACTGATGTGTAGTTTGCACGATACTTTTTGAGCAAATAAAATATTGATGTTAAAAATTGGCGTCTAATTGTTTGCATGTTTAGTTTATTATTTGGGTGTGTTTTTATTTTTGTTTCTGGCTGGTAGGTTTTGTAAATTCGATTTGACGCAAAACAAAACAAAAACAGATATGACATAATAGCTCAAATAGATGAGGGTCTGGACTGGGTTTACAGAATAACGAATTATAGGCAAAATTAAATAAAATAGAGAGAAAAAAGGGGAAAAAATTAAAAGAATAGAGAATAATGGGGTACTGAAATATAAAGAATAGAGAATAATGGGGAAAAATAGAAAAAATCTGTCAAAAAATTAAAAGAATAAATAAATGAAAGACCTCCATCCATACCCTCATAGATGATCCGATTTACGAACTATCAGTTTTCTATAACATTACACAAAATATAATTGTCATGCCATCACAACTGTAAGTATTGATAAAACTAGAGTTTGTAAGTGTCTCTTCTTTGATATTTCATTACAAAGCTATTAGTTTTAAAATCTGATCAAAACACCGTTTAATTCATAAAAAAAATAATGTATTTAATATTGGTTTTTGGTTTGAATTCCGTTTGGGTCGGTTTTCTTGCAATTCAGATGTATAAGATAACATATATATATTTGTTTAGGGGCCAGCTGAAGGACGCCTCCGGGTGCGGGAATTTCTCGCTGCATTGAAGACCTGTTGGTGACCTTCTGCTGTTGTCTGTTCTATGGTCGGGTTGTTGTCTCTTTGACACATTCCCCATTTCCATTCTCAATTTTATGATGCAGGAAATAAAAATACAAAAAAACATTTTCTTAGCACACAACATTGATTACTTTTTAGTCTTGTTTATGTCACAGAGACCGATCAAGATTCAAAGGGGATCGAGATGGCGGTCTTTTTTCCCGATTTTTAATACATTTCAACATGGAAACCGGTTTTTTTTTTAGGATTGAATTTATTGTAGATCTGTGGTTTTAATTCCATTATGAAGTTCCTATGCAATAAGTTATTACATGCAGGCACGGATCCAACCATTTGTAAAAGAGTGACCCAACACATGAAAGTCATATAAAAGGGGAGGGGGGGGGGGGGGTCCAACCAAACGTCGCCCGGAATACTCTCCCCCTGGATCCGCCACTAACAAGTAGGCCCAGTGTATACTTAGTATATAGGGTTATTGCATGAATATTTGTGAATACTTTATCACAAGTAGATTTATTTATGTAGCACGAGCTTGTGAGTTTAATACATTTTACGAGAGATAGTATTCGCAAATATTCATGCAATGTCAATTTGTATAGAAAAGCTTAAAAAACTGACCAAACATGTTTTTCTTCTCACTGATGACGTCACAAAATTTGAAGCTTTATTTTCACTAGAGCAATATGATATGCTATTGCACGCTAATTTATTTTGTGTTCTGTTTGAATTATGTTTCTTTCTATTAATTTGATTGATAGTATGCAACAACAACAGGAGTGAAACAGCGATATGCGATTGTTGTTGAACCAAATTAATATTGAAAATCAAATGTTTACCATCGTGTTAAATTTGACCAATTATGCCTGAGCTGCACACGTTTTACACAATGCGAAAGTTGTGCGAAACTAGCACCACCTCGCCTCGAAGGTTGAATATCGTTCGTTCTAATGACGACAACTATTTTACTTTAGCTTACAAAGACCAAAGACTGTTGATTTAATTTAAATCCTTCTATATTCTAACTCCATAAATAAGTAGTTCACTTTCCCTTATACTTTACCCTTGGAAGGGGAATTAAACATTTAAAACACAGAGGTTTGATGAAATGCTGTGTGTTTATTTAGCAGGAAAATGATGTGTGTTTCAAAACAAACTGAACAGAACATGTATTTATCACTTTAGAATGTTTGAAAATGGCAATCAAAAGGAAGGAAAAGAAAAAAACACCTGTTTTCCGAACTAGAAATTAACTAAGAATTTAACATTTAATTAAGATTATTTTGCATACTTCTTTATATCACAAATAACATTTATGTTGCTATTTAAGTAAAAGTGCAAAATATTGAGTCAAAAGTTCATGTTAAATTTTCGTGAAGTAATTCACTTAAACCGCATTAAAGTCACATTTTAAACATAACATGGCCGTCCATTGGGAAATTACAACACGATATGGTCAAATACAAGACAATTAAAACAGCATACATCACATTATTCCTAATTTCGATGATAAAGGATGAATGGTTTTATTCTGATCTAATTCACGTGATAGTATTGTGCCTTTCAGAAATTAATTAATTAGAGCAGTATATGTGAAATTGAACATGTGAGAGTGACTTTCATTTACCCTAAGTTTAATTACATATCAGAAAGTCGTTTTCGTTTCTGTACTTTCAGGTGTTGAAATAAAGTGGCAGGAAATTGCAACAGACATGGCAAGCGATGTGAATGTAACGGGAATCGTATTTGGTGCCATTTTTGGAGCTCTTTTTGTTTTTACGTGTATTATATCGGCCATTAAAGCCGTCAGGTAAGTGGTGTTTTTTTTTTTTTTTAATTATTATTAGTATTAAAAATATCATGATTTGCTAGATACAAAAAAGTAAGGCAAGCATTTGAGCAAAAAAGGAAAATATTCACATGTTTATTGAAATCAGCATTTAATATCTCTAAATCAATGTACGGTTTATTTTTTACGAAAGTAGGTCAGAATTGTTGCTGTTAATTACACCAAGTTCTTAAGGGATCACACTCCCACACAAAATAGTACATTATTGAACTCCGATGTTTATAAATAATGCAACGAACAAGGTATATGATAATATTTTTTCCATAACATGTGGGAAACAAACTATAAAAAATACTCAATTGCCTTGTACTCTTGTATATGCACGAAAAATATACTTGCTAGATTTCCCTTGTTTTCAAAGTTAAACAACTTTTGGAAAATAAGAAGGGTAGGGAAATACAATAAAAAAAAAACGTAATATTTCAAACGAGCAAGTACCGATCAGCATTTTTTTTTTAATTTTTGAAGAAAAAAATTGTTTTAATACCTATAACATCAAATGAAATTGAGATAGAATAGGTTTAAATATTTACTGTTTGCCTCTTTTGCTGGTATTTAATCTGTAATTTCCTGAACGTATGAAATATTTGCAACTGGAAGTAACATAAACAACCGTTATTTTCAAAGAAAAAAACAGCCGTTAATGGTTTGGGTAGATCTAATAGTTACTGTTGTCGACTAAATTGTAATGGCTTTTGACAAAATTGACCATACAACTGTCATGGTATTCTCTATTTTCAAGTATTAAATCTGACCAAAAAGTGAGGCGAAAGATACCAAAGGGACATTCAAACTCAAAAGTAGAAAATAAACTGACAACGCCATGGCTAAAAAAATTAAAAGACCAATAGACAAACAACAGCACACAAAACACAACATAGAAAACTAAAGACTAACTAAATTATATTATAAGTGTGTTGTTAAATGACACACGTGGTGTTGAATTTCAAATATATTATATTCTATTTTAGTAATACCCGGTGAAGACTGCATGTGTTTTATTTATAGAATCATAAATATTTTGAACTCATTTTCACTTTTTGATCTTCCCAAGGTCATATTTACATCAATATAGATACGAATCAATAAATAGATCTTCTCTAATACATATAGATATTTGAACATGTCAGCTTCTTAACGATGAATAACATCAATGTTGTCATCCGACTTTATTCAAGAGGTCTGGACAGGGGTCCTTCATTTCTGTTTTTGAGGCCTGTTTCTATATCTTAAAAAATAACGCTTTTTTCTGTAAAATTCTTATGATTTTTTTATTAATAATAGATTTGTGTGTATTGAAATGATTTTTTATTTTGTACATGGTTCATTTCTGTTATCAGCATTATGTTACCTAATTCTTTTATATTTCACAGTTATTCTTGATTCTTGTATACCCCACTATTCTCTATTCTTATTTGTTTTTTTTTTTTACTAATTTTTCTCTATTTATTAAATTTTTTTGCCATTATTCTCTATTCTGTAAACCCCATCCAGACCCTCATTCAAGACAACTTTAGTGAGGTTTACAGGGGCTTATCAGTCAATGGTTCTCTCCAGATAAAAAAAAAACATTTATTTAGTCATCGAGAATGGGCAAATGGTTTAAGAATTGAATGCTTCTTTTTGTAAATTTATTTGGGTGTAAAAGCGTTGACCGAAGTACATTCTAAAAATGTGCGCACGGTCAACGCTTTTACAACCTTATAAAACTACTAAAAGAAGCATTCAATACTTAGGGAACGACAATTTAACTTCAAAGGGGGGGGGGGGGGGGGGTCATGGTTTTTTCCTAAAAAAATATTCTGATTTTCCCCATACCTTATAATGTTAAATTTTGAAAAAAAATAATTTGATTGATAGCGTCGAAAATCTACCAAAAAAATGTTCGTGCTTAGCGCGAAAAAAAATTTCTGACTCAGACAAGAAACTATTACCCCCTCCCCCCACACTTGAAGTTAAATGATTGCTCCCTTGTAATTACTTTTTTTTTTTGCTAGGATCATGAAAACACGATTTCTATCAAGTTTTTCCATTATTTACCTGTGCACTTTATTGTGGAAGCTCGTGTCATCATGAATGTTACATTTCATTTTGAAATGAATGTTTATTTCAGAATGACGCGAGATTGCTGTTAGCCAATCAAAATAACGTATTATAATGAAACATACATGTAATATAATTATTTACCTGTGCACTTTATTGTGAAAGCTCGTGTCATCATGAATCTTACATTTCATTTTGAAATGAATGTTTATTTCAGAATGACGCGAGATTGCTGTTAGCCAATCAAAATAACGTATTCAAGAACAATGTGGGTAAAAAGGCCATTATAATGCATAGTATTGAACTGAAATTGAAATTCGATCCGCTCGGGCATAGCTTTTTGGTTGTTATTAAACAACCTACTATATTTATAAGTCTTAATTATATAAAGGAACCCTCAAAAAGACTACACATAAGTTTCAGAACTTCGAACAAATAAACCCAGGTTATAATTCTTAAAAAAAGAAACAAAGGAAAAGAAAGGACATGGGGGAAGATATAGATCATGAAATCCTAGGAAATAACTTTTATAGGTTTTTTTTTCATCTTGACAGTGCTGGAAGGCTTCAACGATGAGCTACAAAACCCACAACTTAGATTAAGGTCACGACTGGCGGCCCCTAGTGTCAACCATGCTTTGGATGCACACATGCACACTATTACACATTACTTGCATTTTATTTATCAACATGATAAACAAGCGGTGTGACTCGTATTTTATTTGGCCTTCTTAACTTTTTCGATTCGAACGCTAGCGTCACTGATGATCGAGTCTTCTGTAGACGAAATGCCCATCTGGCATACCAATTTTTAATCCTGATATCTATGTTGAGTTTATCGTACAGCTATTGTACAACATGTACTTTATTCTCAACTGAACATCTATAAAATGTTCTGTTAACATCTTAATGAACTTTCATACATACGATGTTCTCTCTTATTGTTACGTCTTATGACAGATCACAGCAAGATAATTACACAGACAACCAAAACGATGTTTATGCAAACATTTGAAAGAGAAAAAAAACAATGAAATAGAACACTGTTAGTCTCTGTTTTACACAGTAATATGTGACCGATTCTTTTCTAATAAACATTTTTTTTAAATCATATATTTAATTCTTATTTGACGAAAATGAGTAAAATGAAATTAAATGCAAAAAGGATCGTCTCGCTTTGCTTTCCGTAAGCATACAACATTTAAACACATATTCAAACTTTTTTTAATTCTGCTAGAGGTTACGTACTGGTACAGATGACCTTCACGCAAAATGTAATACGGTCAAAGAGTTTACAAGAAGTGAAATTAAATTAGATGCACTAAATCGTACTAAGATAGCGTTTCAATTGAATTTCAGATCAAAGAAAATATTTTTTTTACTTTTCAGAGATAGAAAACTTATTAAAGAACGGATTGCCGAGAAAAGACGGACAAAATTAGAAGAAAGTGCATATGACAATTATACCGAGCTAGAGACTCGTGAAATTGAACATCCAGTGTCATTGCCAAATATATCCATTGAAGTTCCATTAGGCCAAAGTCCTTCATATAGCAAATCAAAACGAATGGACAAATCATGCACAAAGCGTTCAGAAAAGACACAAAAATCCCCCATTAGATTAAATGTTCCAATGGGTGATACTCGTGAAACTGCACCTCCGTGGAACTATATTCCTTCTCGGAAGGCTACGAAAAACATTATCAGGAGAAATTCGTACGACATGGCCATAGGGCGATATACAGTATTATGCAGTAAATATGGTGGAACGCCTATAGTCAATGGAACTGCCACAAACTGTAGTACGATAGCTTACGAAAATAGTGCATACTGTGAAAATTCATCAGATATTGTTTTATAACTTAAAAATCATTGTATAATCTTCACAACTATGAAAATATCTTAAAAATTACTTCAATATCGAATACTATGTTATATAATATTATGTTGCACTCAGAAAAACGTGATCAGGTCCACAAAATTATTACATTGTGACTTCATTTTGTGCTCTAGAAACCGCCAAATTAATTGTACGGATGAACTCTTACAAAATTTTCAGATTTTAATGTAACGTGGGTAACGTCTTGTGACCAGTCGATTCGCTCATGTAAAATAACTAACCAATATCCATTCATAAAGAATCTCATCAGTATACTGATACGGTTGCTTTTTAAAAAAATAGCTTTTCCAATTATTAATATTTTTTTATGATAATATTTCTCTTCTAAAACAACTTTTATCATGGTGTGAATAGTCTTAACCCCAGGATGACTGTGCTATAATAAACATGGGATCCTGGTTCACTGCTCAACAGAGGACTACTATACCCCCCCCCAAAAAAAAAAAATTATGACCCTCAAGTTATATCATCTTTCGTAATCACCGAATGACATAATATGACATAAAGTGATATAATATGGGGGTCATAAATAGAAGATGGGGGTCATAAATAACTTATGTGATTATGACCCCCATATTATATCACTTTATGTCATATTATGTCCTTTGGTGATTACGAAAGATGATATAACTTGGGGGTCATAATTTTTTGGGGGGGTCCAAGAACCCCCTATAGTAGTCAGAAGAGGTTTGGTCAGAATGACTGTGCTATAGTTAGCATGGTATCCTGACTCACTGCTCGACAGAGGAGGTTTGGTCAGAATGACTGTGCTATTATTAGTTAGCATGGGATCCCGACTCACTTCTCGACAGAAGCGGTTTGGCCAGGATAACTGTGCTATAGTTAGCATGGGATCCTGGTTCACTGCTCGACAGAGGAGGTTTGGCCAGGATGCCAGGCTAGGTATTATAATATGGTTACCTGGATATCAACTGTCAGCAAGATCAATACTGAGTCTGGGTTCATTTTGGCTGTGTGGGATGTATATATACGCAGCCACGTCCGATAGGTTTTAATGGTTTCTGTGTAAAATTTGATATATCATTACGTGTTGCTGCATTGTACTCTTTTGCGTGCGCGTTTGAAAAAAACATAAAAGAACATTCGAAAAAGATTACAGTTTAAACACGACATTCTGCAATCACAGAGTATCAAAATATCAAGTAAAGACTTATATTTTATCTTCACAAAATCATTTTGGTGTGAATAGTCTTAACCCCAGGATGACTGTGCTATAGTTAGCATAGAATCCTGACTCACTGCTCGACAGAAGAGGTTTGGACAGGATGACTGTGCTATAGTTAGCACGGGATCCTAACTCACAGTCATCCTGGCCAACCTTCCACATGTACCATGTACATCATACCGTGGTTTGCAGATCTTTGATCAAATAAAAAAAATCCACATAAGACTATTTGGTAACAAAGTTACTTATAACAAAGTCACACAGATAAGGCATATGCAGTATTTTGTACGGAAATTTGTCTTTGAAGAATGTATAATGCTAAAACATACGAAAGTTGGGATCCTCTTACAAAAGAGGTTATATAACAAAAAATAATGAAGTTTCATAGTACTGTCAAATTCGTTAAGGGGGTATAATACGGGCAAATCTTAGTTTTTTGAAGAAGTGGAAGGAGAAGTTATTCGAGTTTTTTTTCATTTGTGTTTCATCAAGGCAAATTTTCAAAACACCTACAAGCCAGCGAGGAAGTAAAACACATTCATTAACTAATGAAGCTAAACAGGTTGATGCTATTTTTAAACATCAAACGTATTTCCGTTTATTGTTACCTATCGAACTATCCATATGTATTGAATGCATACATTGTTTTTATTTTGAACAACAACAAAAAACGACTATAAAGGACTACATTTCAAATGTCTCCTAATATTAATCGATTTTTTTTATTTATGTGAAATCAATTGTTTTATTTTTTTAACACGCAACTGAAGAATTGATAAATCATTTCAATTTAAATGTCAGATTAAGAAGGATGAAGGATTTTTGTCTTAGTTTTAAAACAACACCATTTTCTTTTTATCATTATACATATAAAGATCGAAGCTTTTGACGTTATATAAAGCTTTTTTCTCAGATGCGGCGTTAGAAGTCGCCAATCAATCCATCATTTATTTTCAAAAGATTTTCTGAAATTTATTTTGTGCGTCTTTTGATCTCAAACCCTAATCAGCGGACGCAACAAACATAATGATTGATTGATTGATGTTGTTTAACGTTTTACGCCACTTTAAGCACGCTTTGCTACATCGTAGCGACCAGTTTTTATTGATGGAGGAAACCAGATTGCCTGGGGAAGACCAGAAACCTTCAGTAATCATTGTCAATTAAGATCAGAGTCGAACGCACAAGGGGTTGCGTTTCCTATCACGATTTCTTTGATAGAGGTAAGCTGTTTACAAGGAAGCTACTTAAACATGCTCGCTTCATGATTAAGTTGCCCTATGCATAATTCTAATTGATTTGGTTGACTGCTATGGAATATATGACACAGATGACCATGGTTATGTTCCACTTGTAGTACCCAAAATTTTCTCGATTTTGGCATCACCGAGCTCGACCTACCACCACATGATTCTTGCAACGAGTAACATGACGGTAGCCGCTATTGGAGAAAGAACTGCCAAATCTTTCGTACACCCGAGTTTTTCTCTACCTTTTAAGGGGTTCATGTTTCTTTATCTTGGTTGTTTTTGTTTGACTTTTGCTAAATCTGTGATGTTTCTATTGGTAACAGTCTTGTTAATCCTTTGTCAACAGCATTGTGTTTTCATGATTGGTCATTTATTTAGTTAGATTGGTTGATTGATTGATTGGTGTTTAACGCCACTTTCAACACTATTGTGCTAATTCGTGGCGGTCAGTTTTTATTGGCGGAGGAAGCCGGAGTGCCCGGAGAGAACCAACGACCTTCGGTAGGAAAACTGACAATCCTAGTCAATTAAGATTGGAGTCGAGTGCACCTGCCCCATGCGGGATTCGAACTCACAACCTCAGTGTTGACTGGTTAGTGATACAGTAAGTCGACTACTTAGACCACTCGGCCACCGAGGCCCCCTATTTAGTTAGAGAATATATATGTATCGATTACCTATAAAGGAGAAGGTACTATGACAAAAGTTAAATTTTTGGGCCATGGAATTCAAAAATCAAAGAATGAAATATATCTATTGATTAACATACTTAATATGTTCACATGACATAAGTCTGTCAAATATCAGAATATGTATGTAATTTAATTGGGTCTTAGGATTTGATTTTCAGGGGACAGGAAGATTGTGGAAATTAATAATTTAGCCAAGTGACAAGTTGAATAAAATAATCTACCCTAATGACAAGTTGAATAAAATAATCTAGCCTAGTGACAAGTTGAAAAAAATAATCTAGCCTAGTGACAAGTGAATAAAATAATCTAGCCTAGTGACAAAGTTGAATAAAATAATCTAGCCTAATGACAAGTTAAATAAAATAATCTTGCAGAAGACAGTATTTGTTTTCTAAAATTTTATGAACATATCACAAACTATAAGGTACATATAGACACTTTTATAAAGGTATGTAATAGATTCCGCACCTTCTTAAAACACGTTATCATTTAAAAATTACTAGATATAAATATGAATAAAACAAGATGTGTGGTATATTCAATTCTAATAACTACTTGATATGCTACAATCATGAAATTGCGAATTGATACATATTTTTTTTTGTTTTCCTATGCATTGGACAGTGACCAACTAGTTCTTCTCCCAAAACTGTAGCCAACAGCAAGATTACACCATCGTCGCAAAGCGTTGTATCCAGGGGGAGTTTGGTCTCGTCCTCGCTGAATGTTTGTAGCAGGCAAATTTAAGCTTTTCCCTTGTTCATTAGAAAATAATGTATCCCTCACTCCTGTTTCAAAGTATCTAGAATAGAAACAGTCTTCAACTATAGACATGCGTTTTTACCATCGATGCATTTCTATGGAAGACTAATTCTACACTTGCTTATTCTATTTTAGTTCACTAATTCTATATAAAATTGAGAATTGAAACGGGGAAATTGTCAAAGAGACAACAACCCGACTAAAGAGCAGAAAACAGCCCAAGGCCACCAATGGGTCTTCAACACAGCGAGAAAATGCCGCACCCGGAGGCTGTCTTCACCTGGCCCCTAAACAAAAATGTATACTAGTTCTATGAAAATGAATGTCACACTAAACTCCGAAACATATAATTGAACCAGAATAAAAAAAACAAAACATACAAGCCCAACAAAGGCCAGAGGTTCCTAACTTGGGACAGACGAGGTTAAACATGTTTTGTGAGATCTCCCCCTCCCCCTTTACCTCTAGCCAATGTAAAATAAACAAACACACAGTAAAATTCAGTTTAAAAGAAATCCGAGTCTGATGTAAGCATAGGTAACAGAATATATACATGTATGACAATCATTCTTCCAATTTGAAATATGCTTTCTTCTTCCTGAATTTGCCACTGACCGTTTAGCAACCAACAATCAATCAATCTTCTTCCTGACATCTCAGATTCTCTATATCTTTCACCGTATTAATGAAATCCAAACCCGGGTTGAAAAACCATTCCTTGTTCGCATATGTTAGAAATTAACCCCACTTATAATAGCTAGAGTGTATAACAACTAAATGGAAGGCACTATTTTGTATGTTGTCTTTGGTCAGGAATACCGCCGTTAGGTTCAAAATTCAAGAGAAGGAACAGGTTTCCGTCCTACAATAGCCATTTGATCGTTTATCTCCTTTCAAAACCACTTACAGTAAGACGAATTTAAGTAAATCCTGATACCGGAACTGGTGGCACTATGTCGTAGTGGATAGAAATATTCGAATGCGTCATGCAACTTTCATTTTTGTATGACAATTTCCGCAAATTTTTTCATTTTGCAAAACATTGTGCGTGGATTTGAAAATCGGACGTGCATTATTTTAGCTACAAATTCGGTCTACAAAATTATAGGATACTGTATTTGTATTCTCTGGTGATGTTAGCTGTATATATTATGAAGTTTGATCGATAAGATATATAAGGTATAAGGCGACAGTAGTTTAAATTCCACTTGGAATATACACGCCAAATGAAACACATGAGGCAGTCAGAGGTACAGAGAATAGTAGAATGAGCCCAACACTTTAATGTAGAAGACTAATATATGACATTATCTCTGTATACAAGTAAATAATTTCATACCTCTTCTTATGAGAAATACTTCTATATTA